TAAATGTGATATAAAAATGCATTAGTAAAACATTCTTAGAAAAAGGGAAAGCCTGAGGTTAAGAATGAGGTGATGCTAGTCCCCAACTGATGCAGTTAGGTGGCCCAATGGATAGAGCACCGGACCTGGAATCAAGAGGACTTGAGTTCAAATCTGGGATCAGACCGTTACTAGCTGTGTGACCTGGGAAAGTCATTTAACCCTGTTTACCTCAGTTCCTCATTTGTAAAATGAGCTGAGATATTCCAGTATCTTTGCCAAGAAAACCCCAAACGGGGTCTTGGAGAATCAGAGATGATTGAAACAACTCAACAACAGCAGTCCCCAACTGAAATAAGAGAAGGAAGCAGAGACATCTTTCCCTGAAAGGTACCAGCAAGAATAGGATGGAGGGATCTGGGTAACTAGGAAGGGGACTGAGACAAGAGGGCATTTCCAATATAGTGTCCTAGTGTGAACAAATTTAACTGTATGCTGATGGAATCTCCCTTACCATTGCTGTTGCTCTCCATAACCCTAATGAGCATAGGTGGTTGAGCCTGAGGGATAAAAAGCTACTAGACTTTGTGTATTCCCCACCCCCACCCAAACCTACAACACACCAAGTTGATGGTGACATCATCATCATCACAACCATGACCATAATAGATAATATTATCATATTTTTAATAGCGCTTAGGAGTTGGCAAAGCATGATACATACACCATCTTACTGGATCCTCACAACAATCTCGTGAGGTAGGTGCTAATATTATCTTTACTTTACAAATCAGGAAACTGAGTCTGAGAGAGATGAAGGGACTCACACACCACTAATAAGTTCTCTGAGGAGGGATTCATCAATCATTGCTTATCTTTGTAATTTATCTACTATTTTATGGACACAAATTTTCCACGTCCTTTCTCTGATTTCATCCTCCCAACAACCCTTCAATATTTCCAGAGATATTTTTGAGCTTGTGAATTTTTTTGATTAGAATTTTGCCTCCTGATTTTAGAACTATAATTGATATTGCATTTGAAATAGAGATTGTGGGAACATGCTAACCATCAGTCTTAGGTTTTGATTGTTTTGCACTGCATGGAGTATTGAACAAGCACTGGATTTGGAGTCAGAGACCCTGGGTTCTTACTAATTATGCCACTTACTAATTATGTGACTGTACAAATTAGTTAACCTCTCTGGGCCTCTGTTTTTCTCTCTTTTGTGATATCTTTTGGGAAAGTGTTGGGCCCTAATCTCTAATGTCCCTTCCAGCTCTAAATATGTGATTTTATGAACCCCATGAGGTAGGGAGTAAAAGTATCTCCATTTTACAGATAAGGAGACTGAGGCACAGAGAGGTTGCAGAGCTGTGATCTTTATTTGTTACAGGTTGTTTGACTTGGAGCCGGATCTTCTGCCCCTCTTTCAGTATAACTGCCGGCAATTCTCCAGCCCCCAGGACTGTCTCTCTTCTCCTGAGTTCCTGGACCACATCCGGAAAGTAAGAGGCAAGGGGAAGAAAGATGGGGGTTGGGGAGTTCAAGCCTTTTTAGAGAGGAGGGAGGTCTGTGGAAACTTGAGACCCTAGAGAGTAGCTCCGTCATTCCCCCAGGGAGAACTAGGGATGCGGGAGGAGAGACATTCCCTCTTAGGCTCTAAAAAATGTTCTCTAGCTCAGGAGAGGCTGACTCCTGACTAGGTCCACCTTTAGTAGTTTTTCCTCTACCTCCCTTGCTTCACTATAGGGGACAAGTCCATCCTTTCCCTCTTGAAAGCCGGCAATCTCCCTCCCAAATACTTGGCAAGTGAGTTTCTATCTCCCTAATGTCAGGGGTGACATCCTAGTGATCCTAGTGAATAATCAACACTTTGAGTGTGGTGTAGATGATAGAACTCAACAAATGACTTCAGGGACCCTAGGGCAAAGTGGTTCATCTCACTGGGCCTCAGTTTCCCCTCACTTCAGTCAGTATGGAAGAATAATTGCCAAATGAAGTTCATTGAATGCTTTGAGATCTTCAGAAAAGAGGCATGTCCCTGATCTGGATTCTCTTATGCCACTTACTGTCTTCAGCTCTGGAGGGTCTATTTAGAGCCAAAGGGCTTTATTGGAGCAGAGACCCTTTTGCTGCCTTCACCTAGTACCTGCAGGACACAAGGCTGTAGTTAGGGTGAGACAATCTTGCCTTTGCCTTAGGACAGCTTTGGGATTTTCCCAGCAGGTAAAGGTGGGGAAAGGAGCTCAAGGCAGAGGGCTTGATCTTCCAGTATTACAATGAGTGCTAACCAACTCAATTAGTTTCAGACTTAGGATCTGGCTCCATGATGTCAGCCCACCCACCTGGGTAGAAGCTGAGCCTCTGCTGAATGGGCAGATTCTGTCAAATACCCCAACTGGACAGCTCCTTCTAGGATCTCTGCATAGGAGATACTAGAAGCCTTTGGGTACAGTAGAATGGTTTCTAAGCTGTCTTATCATCTGAGGTTTTAGAGTGGACATATCTGTGTCTCAGCATTTCTTTATAGGCTCAGGGCTTGAAGGAAGGAAGGAAACAGACATTTATTAAGTACCTATACTGTGCTAAGTGCTTGGCAAATATCTGATTTGATCCTCACAATAATCTTAAGAGGTAATTGCTATTATGACCCCTGTTTTATAGTTGAGGAAACAAGTTAAGTGACTTGCCCAGGGTGACAAAGCTAGGAAATTTCTGAGGTCAAATTTTAACTCAGATCTTCCTGACTCCAGGCCCAGCATTTTATTTACTGTACCACCTACATTTGAAGGCTTCTGCTGCTAAAAGGAAGAATTTGAGGGTGCATTTTTCCCTTTCTTCTCCTCCACTAGGCCCCAGGGGAGCATGTCATCTATGTTGGCAGTTAAGGGGATGGTTGTCTTTGCTCTCCTAAATGTAGATCTTTCTACCCTGGTCCTCTGGCAGGTAATGTTGGTGATTGATGCTGCGGTGACCCATGTGGAGAACTTGTCCTCTTTGGAGGAGTATCTCAGTAATCTGGGCAAGAAGCACAAAGCAGTTGGTGTGAAGCTCAGCTCCTTCTCGGTAAGGCAGCTGCTTACCCTCTGGGCATCCGGGCCCAACCTCAGTCTTTTTTTTTTTTTTTTGTGAGACAATTGGGGTTAAGTGACTTGTCAGGGTCACACAGCTAGTAAGTGTCAAGTGTGTGGTCTAAGACCAGATTTGAACTGGAGTCAGGTCCTCCTGACTCCAGGGCCAGTGTTCTATCCACTGGGCCACCTAGCTGCCCCTCTCAGTCTCTTTTGTACCTCCTTCTTTTCAAAAAATTTAATATTTTATTTTTTCGCAATTACATGTAAAAATAATTGTAACATTCTTTTTTTAAAATTTGAGCTCCAAAATCTCTCCCTCCCTTCCCTCCCCTACCCATGAGAAGGCAAGCAATTTGACATTGGCTGTACATGTGTAGTCATGCAAAACACATTTCCATGTAAGTCATGCTGTGAAAGAAAACAGACCAAAAAAAAAAAAACCAACCCAGGAAAAATGAAGTAGAGAAAAACTATTTTTGATTTGCATTCAAGATCTACCAGTTCTTTCTATGGAGATGGACAATATCTTTCATCTTAAGTCCTTCAGAATTGTCTTGGATCATTGTATTGCTGAGTTATTCACATTAGATCAACATACAATCTTGCTATTACTGTATACAATATTCTCCTGGTTCTGCTTGTTTCATTTTGCATCAGTTCATGTAAGTCTTTCCAGGTTTTTCTGAGAGCATCCTGCTCATCATTTCTTATAGCACAATAGTATTCCACCACAATCATATACCAGAATTTGTTCAGCCATTCCCCAATTTATGGGTATGCCCTCAATTTCCAATTCTTTGCCATCACTAAAAGAGCTGCTGCAAATATTTTTGTACATATAGGTCCTTTTCCTTTTTGTTTTTTATCTCTTTTTATTGCTGGGTCAAAGGGCATGCATGGTTTTATAGCCTTTTAGGCATAGTTCCAAATTGCTCTATAGAATGGTTAGATCAGTTCACAGCTTCACCAACAATGCATTAGTGTCTTAATTTTCCCACATCTCTCCCTGTATTTGTCATTTTCCTTTTCTGTCATATTAGCCAATCTGGTGGGTGTGTGGTGATAGTTCAGAGTTGTCTTAATTTTGCACTCCTTCTAGTTCCCTTCCTTTCACCAATCATTTCCTTGAACTGGTATTCAGGCAGCTCCTGAAGCTCCTGCTCTGTACCGGGTACTCTGGTTATTTAAGAGAAAAGAGCTTCCATTCTATAGAGGGAGACAATAGGTAGATACTTAAGTATGTAAAAAAGAGATCGAAGGTAAATTTGATAGAATCTTGATAGAAGACAATAGAAGTTGGGGAAGGATCAGGAAAGGCCTCATTCAATTGATAGCATTTGAACTAAGCTTTGAATAATAATAATAATAATAATAATAATAATAATTAACACTTACATAGCACTTACTATGTTCCAGGCACTGTGCTAAGTGCTTTACAATTATATCTCACTTGATTATCACAACAACCCTGGGAGGTTAAGTGCTATTATTATCCCCATTTTACAGATGAGGAAATTGAGGCAGACAGAAGTTAAATGACTTGCTCAGGGTCATCCGACTAGTAAGTATCTGAGGCTGGATTTGAATTCAGGTCTTCCTGACTCCAGGTCCAACACTCTATCCACCACACTGCCTAGCTGTTCCTAATAGTGTTAGGTTACTATTCCTACTATGAGGGTCCTGGAAAGATGCTAAGCTATCCTAACAACATTCTATAGACTCATAAGGAGAATTTACCATCCCTCTGTTCAATCCTTTGAAGAAGCTAAGGAGTAAAGAAATTTTCCAACAAATGATTCAGGCCACCCTAGAAAGTAAATATTCAAAGGGGAAAGTCCTGAGATGAGATGTATTCCAAAAGTGTAGTTTCTGCAGGAGATACAATGTGCAGCATATAACAAGTCAAAAGTAAGTATTTGTTGAAATGAATGGATATTCCCAATTCTTGTTTTATCACTTTTAAGGGCTTACCTCTCTGTTGGCCACCATGAACGATACCACAGGGAAGGGAAGGGAAAAGGAATAAGCTTTTTTATAATGACTACTGTGTGCCAGGAACTGTGCTAAGTATTTTTTTCAAGTATTATCCCATTTGATCCACATAACTCTGCAAACTATTATTATCCCCATTTTACTGTTGAAGAAATTGAGCCAAATGGCGAGTAAGTGTCTCAATGAGGGTGACATAGCTAATGAGTTTCTGAAGCTGGATTTGAACTCAGATCTTCCTGACCAGCTCCCACATGAATGGAACATACCTTTAAATTTACTATTTGTGGAAAAAAAAAGACAGACAGACAGACAGACACACAGAGATGCTTGAGAACAATGACTGAGGTTAGTAGATAAAGATTTTAGTCTCAACTCTGATGATACTCACCACCACATAATTAATTGGACCTTGATTTCTCCATCTGTCAAATGGGGATAATCTCTGCCCCTATCCATCTCACAGGGTTGTGAAGAAGGTGGTTTCTAAAGCCTAGGGTGTGCTTCCAATGTCCTAAATGCTCTTTTGCTATTTTCCTTTGCAGACGGTGGGCGAGTCCTTACTCTACATGCTGGAGCAGTGCTTAGGTCCCTCCTTCAATGTAGCCATGAGGGAGGCATGGACGCAACTCTATGGGGCTGTGGTAGGGGCCATGAGTCGTGGCTGGGATGGAGAGTAGGAGTCCTCCCACTCCAAGCCCACTCTCTACATCATGAATCCATCTCCCCTTCCTGCTGGTCAACATGCTCACTCTCTCTCTAATGTTGCTTAGGTTCCCCAGTCTCCCCACCTCCTCTCTCTCTCTCTCTCTCTCTCTCTCTCTCTCTCTCTCTCTCTCAGGTTTGAGTATCTCCTGTTCCTTCATGCTTCCCTGAGAGCCTAAGAAAGTGTACAACCCCATTTCCAGCCTATCCTCCTTTCCCTACTTCTGCCAACAGAGAATGGAAGGGACTTTCCCCATGGATATGGCCTCTCCTGTTGCACCCTCCACCCCTTCAGTAAAGGTTATTAGAAAAGGATAGAGGATGCCCAAGAGGCCGGGCTTTAGGAGCTCCTAGCTAAGGCAGACCCAGTGCTCCTTCTTTCCATCCATCCCTGTCTATGTTACTTTTCCCTGTGGTTGTCCATCTTCCCGAGAATGCCAGGCCTCAACCCAATTGTGAAGTTGGCAAACCATATCTCTGGCTCTTTCCCTTTTCCCTTTCTGTGTCCCATCCCTTCCAAACACATACTTTCTATATGCCAAACCAATTGTCTCCTATCCTTACAACCAACTGCTTAAACAGTAGCTCTTTCCTATTCTCTTGTCTTGGAGGAGATTGTGATCTGATATACCAGCTCACATTGAAGTATTAGTTTTCCTCCCAGAGGCAGAAGGAGGGCAATGTTCACTCAAAGGAACGACTTTACAGTAGTGGAATTTTAGGCAGGGTGGTGGTTTTTCAAGAGAGATGGCTTTCCCAGTTCCCTCCAGGCTCCCCTTTCCTCTTTTCTTCTCTCCCTCTCTCTGACTCCCTGACCCTTCTTTCCTCTCTCCCCCTCTCCCTCTCTCCCTCTCTTCCACTTTTCCCCTCTTCTCAAACCTATAGGCCTGACTTTCAGAGCTATGGCCCCACCCTAAAGCAATGGATGTGAGATAGGCCAGTTTCTGGTGCCCTCTTGCACGTATTTTTGTCTTTGCTCCCAGCTACTATGTCTTTTCCCCTCAATCCTTGCTCATTCATGCAAACAGCAATTAGAGAAGCTATTGGTTCCAGATATTTTTCCCTCCCTACCCTAAGTGTGCCTTGTAACTTGATGACTGTTTCCATCTTTTCGTGCTCATCCACTTATTCTACTGATGAAGTAGCTCTTCAGTCTCTGCTCTGTGTTGTGGTTATGTAAACCTCTTAAGAAATAAATCAGTTCTCTGTGCAGCTCTTTGATTTCCCTGGATTCATCATTTTTTGGATGGATATGTGTGTGAGATGCAAGGACTGTGGATAGCAGTGTATTTTGCAGATAAAAGGAGAAGCCAGAACCAGGGAAGCTAAGACAATGCCAAGAAGAAAATGAAGGAATATTAGACTCAGGGGGTTCTTGGAAACTGGGAGTCAGAATAAAGATTTGGGGTTTGGAAGTCAGGTGAGTGATCAAGTTAAGAAGTGCCAGGGTGCTGGAGGTCAGAGTGGGGCAGAGAGGCAGAAACCAGGTAAGCAACTGGGACAGCTGACCCACGATCTTACCTTGGGTCTAAGGGGAAGAGAGTGGGAAAGAGCTAAGAGAAGACCCTCCCAAAACATGGAAACATTAATTTATGAGATCCAGGTCTTGGCCATCAGATCTTCAGATCAAGCATCCACTATAAAAGCTGGGACCATTCTGAGGAAATAGTATCTGGAAAGAAAGAGGAGGGATCAACTTGATTAGTTAAGAGTTAAGGAAGCTGAGCTATCCTGTGTTTTCACATTCAGACACCAGGAAGAAGAGAACAGTCTACAAACCATAAGCTAGTAGGTTGATTTCAACTCTTGGGAAAATTCTAGAATGGTCATTAAAGAGTTGGGTAGCTAACAAATACGTGGCAAATGAATCAGTGACTACAGAACCAGCGTGGCATCATCAAGGATCTGGCATGCCAGACTAACATTATTTCCTTTTTTTGATAGGTTCCTAAACTGGCAGATGGCAAAAGTTATATAGCCATGGTTTATCTAGCTACTAGAAAAGCATTTAATAAATATTCCATGTTATTCTTAACAGGGGGAGGGGGGGTAATGGGGAAATAGGGAATTTGGAACTGGTTGAAGAGCTGGACTCAGATTTAATGTTTCAATGTCAACTTGGCAGGAGGTCTCCAGTGGGGGTACCCCAGGGCTCTGTAGTGGGACCTTCATTGCTTATAATTGTTATCAGTGATTTGCATAAAAACATAGACAGGAATGTTAACCAAATTTGAAGATAAGTCAAAGCTGGGATGGATAGCTAACATGCTGTATAACTGACCAGATCAAAAAAGATCTTAATAGGCCAGGATAATGGGCTGACTCTAATAAGATGAACTTCAATAGTAAAATCTTACACTTTGGTTAAAAAATAAACTTTATAAGTAAAAGATACTCCAGAAAAAAATGCTTAAAGTACATGATATATATGAAAAAATGGTTATGTACAGGATATATATGAAGAATACAGGTAGGAGTATAGTCAAGATGGCAAAGTGAAAGATCACAACTGCCAAACTTCTCCCAGAATCTTTCCTACAAAATGGCCATAGAAAACACCAAATAGAATTCTAATCAAAAGAATTAAGAAAAAGTCACAAACAGTCATTTTTCCAGCCCAAGGCAGCTTGGAAGGAAGGCAGAGAGGTCTGGGCACTGAAGTGGGGGTAAGGGCAGCAAAAGCCGAGTGCTGCAGAAGTGGCATCGATTGTAAACTATTGGGCAGCAGCAGTGCCCAGAAATGGTAAGAGTACTGACCCCTTGGTTAGAAAGACACCTCAGGGGACCCCTGTACTAGCATTGGCTACAGGATCAGATACTACTTAGCAGCTTTGTCATGCATTACCCAGTTCTGTGTTGTACTTCTAGGGTCGAAAGGAGTGGTTGTAGTCATGGGCACAGAGTAGGAGGTCAGACCTCTCTCAAAATCATAACATATTGTAACAGGACCCCAAATTGAGCTGTGAAAACAGAAGGATATAAAAGCCAGAAGCTCAGGTCAGTTATGCTCTCCATTGGAAGTGAGCAGAGATCAACTCTAACATAAAGTCTAAAGTAGTAGCCTGGGAAAATGAACAAAGAACAACAATAAAAAAAAACCCAACATAAAATGCTACTATAGTGACAGGAAAATTCAAGACAAAAACTCAGTAGACAATGACTTGAAAACATCAATAAGCAAAATCTCAAAGAAAAATGCAGATTGGACCCAAGTCCAACAAGTATTCCTAAAAAAGCCAAAGATATTTTTTTAAAAGAAGAGCAAAAATGATTTTTAAAAATCAAATAAAATCAGTAGAGGAAAAACTGGGAAAAGAAATGAGAACTGTGCAAGAAAAGTATAAGAAAGAGAATTAACAGCTTTGCAAAAGAGGCACAAAAGTCACTGAAGAAAATAATTCCTTAAAAATCAGAATTGGCCAAGTGGTAAAAGAAATATACAATCTCCCTAAAGAAAATAACTGCATAAAAATTAGAAGTGATCAACTGGAAGCTAATGATCCTGTGAGACATCAAGAAACAATAAAACAAAGTTAAAAGAATGAAAAAAATAGAAGAAAATATGAAGTATCTCAGGAAAAACAACTGACCTGGAAAATAGATTAAGAAAAAATACTTTGAGAATTATTGAACTACCCAAAAGCTATGATAAGAAAAAAGAGCCTGGATGTCATATTTTTAGAAATTATAAAGGAAAACTACCCAGATATCTTAGAATCAGAAGACAAAATAGAAATTGAAAGAATCCACTAATCACCTCCTTAAAGAAATACCCAAATGAAAAATCCCAGGAATATTATAACCAGAGCTTTCAGGTCAAGGAGAAAATATTTTAATCAGCCAGAAAGAAATACCATGGAGCCACAGCTGGGTTCACACAAAATTTAACAGCTCACACTATAAAAGAGTCAGAGGCTTAGTATATTATTTTCTGGAAAGCAAAAGAGCTAGGTTTACAACCTGGAATTACCCACTCAGCTAAACTGAGCATAATCCTACAAAGGAAAAAAAATGGATATTTAATGAAACAGATGACTTTTAAGCATTCCTGATGAAAAGACTAGAGATGAATAGAAAGTTTTATATTCATATACTAGACTCAAGGAATGCATAAAAAAGTAAACATGAGTGAGAAGTCATAAGGAATTTAGCAAGGCTAAACTGTTTACATTCCCATATGGGAAGATGATACTTATAACACCTAAGAACATTATCATCATTAGGGCAGTTAGAAGGAGTCTACATAGACAGAGGACATGTGTGTGAATCTATTATGTTAAGATGATCTCAAAAGAAGATTGCAAGGGTGAAGAAGAGAGACACATAAGAGAAGGAGAAAATTACTTCACCTAAAAGAGAAATGAAAAGAAGAATTTTATACAATAAAGGAGAAAATATGTGTGTGGGAGGGAGCAGGCAACACTTGGAACTTACTCTTATCTGAACTAGTCAAGGAGGGAAGAGTTTATATATACATCCAGTTGGGGATAGAAATTCATCTTACCCAGCAGGGAAGTAGGAGGAGAAGGGGCTATGATGAAGTCAGGAGAAATTATAAGAGGGAGGGTAGATTAAGGGAGGTAGTGGTCAGAAATAACAGATTTTTGAGGAAGGCACTGGGTAAAAAAAGAGAAGGACAAATAGAAAAGAATAGAATGGAATAGAATAGAAGGGAAAAGCACAGTTAGCAATTATAACTGTGAATATGAATATGATGAATTCACCCATAAAATGGAAGAGGATAGCTGACTAGATTAGAAACTAGAATCCAATAATACATTGTTTAGAAAAGACACATTTGGAGTATAATGAGACACACAGAGTTAAAATAAGGACCTGGAGCAGAATCTATTATGCTTCAGCTAAAGTAAAAAAGGCAAGGGTAACAATCATGTTCTCAGACATTGTTCTCATCCTGTTCTCTTCACTTTACATCAGCTCACATAAATCTTACCAGGCCTTTTTGAAATGATTCCCTACATCATTTCTTACAGAATAGCATTCCATCACACTGATATACCATAATCTGTAGTCATCCTCTCAGTTTCCAATTCTTTGCCACCACAAAAAGAGCTGTTACAAATATTTTTGTGTATATGAACCTTTTCCCTTTTCCCTTTATGTTTTTGGGGTATAGGCCTAGTAGCAGTATAGCTGGATCAAAGGGTACATGCAGCTCTTTGGGTATGGTTTCAAGTTGCTCTCCAGAATGGTTGGATTAGTTCACAGTTCTACCAATAAATAGTGCATTAGTGTAACTATTTTCCAATATTCTCTCCAGCATTTGTCCTTTTCCTTTTCTGTCATTTTAGCCAATCTGATGAATATGAGGTGGTATCTCAGAGTTGTTTTAATTTGCCCTTCTCCAATTATTAGTAATTTACAGCATTTTTATATGACTCTTGGTAGCTTTAATTTCTTCTTCTGAAAACTACCCCATTATATTCTTTGACCATTTATTGATTGGGAACTGGCTCTTGTTTTTATAAATTCAGGTCCGTTCCCTATATAATTTTGTGCTGTGTAAAATCTGAAATAACAGGAAACAAAGTTTTAAGCTTCCAAGAATATCAATTTATTAAACTAATACATGCCAATTGAATAACAAATAAGGGCCAGGCCTCCTCAGCTTGGCTCTGGACCCTGAATGCAGGGGGAGACAGACTTTTATGTATTAAAAGAAAACAATTAAGAGGATATAAACCAAGATACAAAATTAGGCAATCTGATTTTCTAATTGGAGGAAAAAATAGGGGCTTTCCAAGTGAGAAGGAGAAAAGTAAACAATTGCAATTCCCTGAATCCCAAAAAAGAGGTGTCCCATCCCCCCTAAGTATCTGTATTCAATCAAAGGAGCAAAGAAACAGTAAGTGATTGACCAGTATGGGGCCAATTTTCAGATAAGACATATGGGTTACTTGAGATGTATAATTGTGAAAAAATCCCTTGAATCAATCTTTGGATCTGAATGGGCTTCTGGTCAGCATAGTTCTGGTCCTTAGTTAAGGGTCTCTAAGCAACAGGTAGAGGTAGTCCAGCTTCCCAGCCATGAAGGTCTAGGTTCAAACAATTGAAAAGTTTCCTCACAATTCCTGTGATGGAATAAAGTTTTCTCACAAGACAGAAATTGAAGTAGACACATAATCTAATAGAAAAGGAACTGAGCTAGATCCAGAATTATCCCAAGACAACATTCAATCTCATATAGGCTA